CACTGCATGTTCACTTCAGAGCAGCAGTTCCCCCTAGTGTGAAGGATCTTCAGCCTTTTATACTCCCAGGTGCAGACAATCAGCCAGTCAATTGGCCATGGAGGGGTCATGGGATCGCCAGGCAGCAAATCGTCCGCGAGGTCTGGCACACTGTGATCTGCATAATCAGAATCAGAATCAGCTTTATTTGTCACAAGCAGGTTGCCCTGCAGTGAAATGGGACCCCCCGACCTTACACACATAACACAGACATCACATGGGGTTACAAGTCGGAGATTGGTAGCGTTACAGCAAAGAACACTGAAATGTACACAACAACGGGAGGGTACAAGAGGAAAACAAGAGACCTCCACTCATGCTGTGCTTCCATGGTAGGACAGCACGAGAACAGGAAACAAAAAAAACTCTGCAGAAAAAAAAGCACATGAATGGCCACAGCACAACATTATGAAAGACATGACAAGCCACAGGGTTGGGTAGGGGATATCATAACACAATAAACACAGTGTGCACATCTGATCTGGGACTGCTCCAATCTTTCGACTGCGCCGCCAGCTGACCCGATGTCCAAATCATGGGGGAGGTAAGCATCGAAGGCGCTGGAAGGGGAGGGGGGGATGGGTGAGTGCTTATCAGTGTAAGTGTATGTGTGTGCGTGTCCATAGTTCAGCAGAGACAGTGTCCTTCGCCCTATCAGGCTAAGTAAACAGTCCTCCAGCCAATCCAGGTGTCCTTGCATGGGATGGGAAGAATAGTCATCACACAGTCTTTATCAGGGAGTGATTGTTCGGCTCCAGCCTTGGGCCTGCAGCTGGCGCCGTGGTGGTGTCCGCATTTTGATGTTGATTTTGTTGATTTTTTCATGCGAGCAGCCCAGGAGAATGTCAAGTTGCTCTTTAACACTCTGACGCTGGTCTCTCAATCTCCCGTTGGAGAGTCGCGAGCCTCCCCATAATGGTATCAAACTTCTGTTCCATGGTGTTATCATTCTTTTGATTCTGAGACCCCACAACTGCAGTGATCCGTTCCACGATGTGTTCCAACTTTCGCTCAAGGGTCTCATTTTGAGCAGGCCTCTCTCTGATGTATCCCCCCATACGCTCAATGGTGTTGTTTTGAGCCTTCACAGCAGCTGTAAGCGTCTCCAAGGTGTTAACCATGCTGCGTTCATTGTGAGAGGTCGCGCCTCGTCCCATCGTTTCAATTCCAGCGGGCAGCCTTGGGGGGGTTTGAACAGCCGGTTCTGCTCTCTTATTTCTCCGACAAACCAGGGCCAAGCCAGCTCCGATCAGCAAGAACCCTGTTAGTTATCATGGTTCCGAATAGGTAGATATCTTCAGCGTCCTTGATCGACAGGCACATGACCCTCCAGTTCTGCCACCCGTCCATCGTGTATCCGGCAGGGAAAGTCCCTCCAGGGTACTCAGGCTCTCCCGAGCCCAGACTTCTCGTTGAGAAAAGGGTGTCAATAGCATTCAGAGACCAGTTGATCAAATCCATAATTCTCTTTTAGGTTTAGAGAACAACAGTGAGCGACTGTTCCAGGGAAAGTAATGCACACGAGACAAGACAAGGACACAGAGGCTAAGCAGGGAATATAGGGGTAAGAAGGCTGGCACAGGACTCCCAGCAGCCAGTCATCCACGACTCCTGGCACACTTAGATTTGCACAAGCACAAAAGGGTAGTCTCACTCTCTCCGAGACCCAGGGCCGTAACAGTATTGTAGTAATACTTTTCCAGCACCGAACTAAGAAGTAATTGGCTCTGTGGCTTTGTTTTATCAGACAACTTCCCATTCTCAATGGGACTCATTAAGTTCTTCAAGAACATGTAAACAACTTCACCAAACTTTATCAGTTGATATTTTTGTCTGTATGATCTGTCATCATACATCATACCTCATACAGAGGTGGGTAGACTTAGTAGTGTAGATAAAATAATAATAAAATATCATTATTATTATTATTATTATTATTATTTGTATATAACTTTCCATAACCAAAGTGCTTGCTGGTACAGGAGAAGCACTTCTAGTATATATTCTGAGCCCAGGCCATGAAGGACAGGTAATTAGTAAAATCTTAAAATCAATTCTAATGCAATATGCTAATTTTTCTTAGTCTTTAGAAGATGTCTAGCTGCTGTATTTTGCACGATCTACAGTCAATTTAATGCTTTCTGAATGATACCTGTTAGACGACCATTACATTACTGTATTTTTTGGATTATAAAGGTGCACTTTAAATCCTCTAATTTTCACAAAAATCAACAGTGCACCTTATGTATGAATTCTGGCTATTCATAATGACCTTGAACCAATTTTATGTGGTACACAGTGCTCAAAAATCTGTGAAAAAATGTCTTAGCACGGGTCCAAAACTCTGTCCGCTTCAGGTCTCAAAGTCAAATGAACACTGCAGCATCACTGAGAGTCAAAAACTGTCTAAATTATTTCACCTTTAATAAAATGGGTGTTCTGAGCCCCGGCTTGGACAGTCTCGGTCGTTGTGTCCTTGGGCAAGACACTTCACCCGTTGCCTACTGGTGGTGGTCAGAGGGCCCGGTGGCGCCAGTGTTT